CAGTAAAGCCCAGTTCACTGCCCTCCTTCATACAATCAAGCAACAGGAAAATCTCGAGGAAAAAGCGTGTTTGAAGCAAATTGTTGGACCATCAGAGGCAGCTTCCCTCAACCCTCCAGAATTGGGAATCGTAAAGTCTTCGGTGGATCTACACTTCGGAGCATTTTGGATGTGGGATAAAGTTGGACGTATTCTTCTCCAGAATCGTAAGCTTTTGCCAAATTGCATGCCTTTCCGATATTTCTAAAAGCGGAAGAATAAACAATGGTTGTAGAAGGGCTTTTTGTATGAGTTTGTTTGTGCCTGCAGCTTCTGCTTCCAGCATCTCGAAGCGGTTTTGGTCAGGTACATAACAGTGCTTGCCCTTACGATCTTCCTTACAGCCCTTATGTTCTATGGGGCGTGAGACATGAATCACAAACGTTTTGGTTTCTGTGATGATGCCAATTTAGGGGTGCCTCCGCCTCTAGACGTTGGTGATGTCGTGAAAGTGCTTGGAGTCGGCTCTACTGTCCTTCAACAAGAAGAATATACTGTTGCCGCTGTTCATGGAACGGCGATCGCAGTAGAGAAAGATGGAGTGTATTTAGACTTTCCACGTGACCGTCTAATTCTTACGATAGGATCAAGTGGGGGCCATTTCAATTCGGTGCAACTATCTGCCTAGGAGGAATCTTGCAGCTTCCGGACTTTGAATTCTAATTTTGTGTGATGCGTATCCTTCAGAGTATATTTCAATAGCTGACTCGGTACTGCGGAACGAGATCAAGGACTTGAATGAGGATGATCCTAGCATATTACAGGACATGGAGGAGATCTTCAAGATTGCAGCAGTTAGAGAGGCATTTCAAAAAACGCAGCAGACAGGAGACCCTCGACACCTGCAGAATGCAATGAAAGCCTCTGAAACTTTTCACTGTATGTCTGGTCCCTGAAAAGCAACGAAGGATTTCGTTTTTTTCCTCTCCCTATAATGAGACCGGTCAATTTTGTTGATGCTGCAGTCTTGTCTTTTGTGGACGCAATGAGAGAGCTGCCTAGCATTGAAGCCACTCCGCTTCAGAAACCAGGCAAAGGAAAATATAAGCCCGACCCGGCAGAGACGAGCAGCATTTACACTTCAGAGGCTGCAGTGCGCGGTGAGTTTTCCTTGCCGTACCGCTTTGTACCAGAAGCCCTACAGAAGCATCTTTTGCCAATCCTGTGGGTATATGCGTGTATTTTCCCTGCAGCATTTGAAGTACTACAGCTCATTAGAGGGCACACAGTTTTGGAGGGCTGCAGGCCTCTGACTCACAGAAACTTATATGGGACTGGCAGCGAACTTGTCTGGCGAGTAATTGAAAATGCGAAATTCGAAGCACTAAATATGCAGGGCCAAGACGTATTGTATGCGGCGCTTGAGAATCAATGCAGATCTACGGCAGCGTTCGTTTTTCCAGCAATGTTCGATTCGTCTTCCGTCATTATTCCCCAATGCGTGAATATCTGGAAGAGAATGAGGAACGACTGGTCGCAGATGAGTGAGCGCTCTTCATGGAAATCCCAGAACACTCCTGCCAGCTGATTTCACGATAATGCTTGCATTTCTATATACTTTGGCACTCTGCAGGCAACAACTGTGTCATTTGACAAACTACGTGCGTCTGCTGTGCTATCTTTGATGTTCCTTACCTTCAGCTTTTTCTGCGAATATTACGAAGGACCGCGAAGCGCTTACGAATGACTGCAGTATTGAAGAAGGCATGCTTCTCAGCGGTCCATAGTCGTTGCAACTAAGCAGCTTCACTTGCTCTTATGCTGCAGCTTTGCTTTTTGATATATGAGTTGCTGTTTGCATCATGCATACTTCAGGGCAGCTGGCGCCTGGATATTTGAGTGGATGTGACTCGCGTTGTATGGAAGGCGTTCTAAAAAGAGATTACCCGTTTGGCAAGAGGCATGCAAAGAGAAAATCTATAGGAAGGGATAGCATCATTGCTGGCGACGGTAAGAATACAAAAAAGAAGACACTCTACCCTTGGATGGAGGAGCCCTCTAGTGTTGTTGTTACTCACTATTACAAAAGACGCCTCCTTTTGGTCTGCCATGTGATTAGCATCGCTTTGGTCATGCATATTTTTCGCGCAGTTGCCCGTATTACAATATTTTCTGCCTTCGACACACTTCCGTATCTTGACCTGGTGGGTGGCCAGATTTGGCGGCTCGCCCACTTCATCAACGCGAAGGCTACGATCGCAAGTATAGAAGAGGAGTTTGAAGTGCTTTCTTGTGTAATAGATGCCTTGACTAAGGATGTTGTGGACGGCCTGCATGTTGACACTACAATGGCTGGGTTTGGTCTACCGCATCTCCAACTGTTGGCGCTGAATGTGGCGACTGACCTGCGCCACCACGCAAGCGTCGTGGGAGCCAATCTGAAAAACAGCAAAAAGCTGCGCACTGCGGCCAAAGGGTCAAAAGAATTTTCTGCATTTTTTAGGCTACTATCATGCCACGTCGACGGGGACACAGAAGCACTCCACGCACAGTTTGGACCGTTCGCATCATTAGCTATTCGTATAGGTGCGTTTTTGCAACTAGCTGCGCAAAGTTGATTAGTTGTAATGCAGAGGAGCCTTCTAAAGCCTGTTACCCTAGCTCACTGCCAATCCTCTGAGTAGAGAGCTCCCAAACCGCTTATCTTGTCTTCCCTTCAGCTTTATTCTTACGTGTCGAAGTTGAGGAGCATGCCAACAAGGGATGGAAAGACGCAATATCGGTCTTTACTGGCAAAGCATTTAACAGGAAACTGTACGAAAAGGTCGTGCGGCAAATGAGGACGAATGCAACAAAGTTTATTGAAAAGTTCATGGGAGAATTCAGCTATGTACCTACAGGGAAGCTCCAAAATGTCAAGAAAGGAGTCAAACGCCTTTTCAAGCGGAAGCGTAAAACAAATGCAAGGGCCTTCAAGCATAAAATAGACCACAAAGTCGGCCACATCTTTGCAAAACTGATGCTAATGATGTGGACGAATGGCAGCAAACACCAAATAGATTCGGGACCTACGAAAGTTGATAGCACATTCCGGCTAGCCAGGCAATTTCAGACATACACGATTTTAAACCATGGTGAGGCTAAGATGTGGGGATCCCTCTTACATGGAATAGAATGAAGAGCTGTTACTAGACTTCTGGACTCCTAGTGAAACAGTGACGTGCTGTGTTTGAGCAGCATTGTTGCTACTGTCCTTTTTGTCCCTTACGTGGATGCTGTTTAGACGAACTTGGGTTGCGTCTCCCCCCTATTCAAAAATGTTTTTTTCCAGGCATGGACCCAGTACGACCGATAATAGCGCAAATCAAGAAGGCCTGCAAAGAAACAAAAGTTGTCAAGCACAAGCATTGGTCCTTACTGAGCAGATCAAAGGGTAAAGTGTCAGGACTCGTCAACGAAGTTGAGACAAGCTTGGCCTATGGGCTCATCACTGGGCACACGCTCTCCGCAATATCCGAAGCTGGACGAGAGCTTGCTGCTGCTTGCCATGAACAGGCACCTCTAGATCTGACCACTCGAGAAACTAAGTATCGTTTAATAGCCGAGCTACACCAATGCATGGAACTTCGGGGTAAGAAGTCCACGTTGCCCGGTCACACCTAACGAAGTGGCTGATTCATAGAGTTTCCAAGCGAGAATATACTTTCGATTTGCAGGCCAGGCCGTAAAGTTTTTGAAGCTTGCACTAAAAAACGTGAAAAGCCCTCCAGAAGAAGTCACAGCAAGGCTCTTCACATTTCTCAAACAGATTCTAGCAATCCGAGGAAAAGACGCTAAAGCTCTCTACAAAGCGTTCCTCCGCTGGCAGAAAGAAGGCGAATCATCAAGGGAGGTAAATCAATGGAACGACAACATGGACATGCTGAATTGCTCATGGCACTCATCACAAGAGGAACAGAACCACATACTGTCTGAAGCTGGGAAAAGAATCGGCAAGGAAGCGACTGATGAAGTTAATGCAGGACCGCAAATCCAAACTTGCCGTGGTAATTGAAAAATATAACCCCTCCACGACCGCCAGTCAACTATGCTATGAAGAATACAAGCACACGCCTCATAGCGAATGTCGCCGTAATATTGTGTCTGTGGATCTTGCAGCAAGCTACAATGCGCGGTTGGACTTGCAGCAGGCTCAGGTGAATATCTTTTCCGCGGAAGTTGTCCAAGCTACTTCTCTGTAGGCCCCATTTGCTGAAGAGCACACTCGCCCTGACACTAATATGGCACAATGCACGGCAATAACAGCAAATTTGTACCATGTAATTTGCGCCCTGAGCAACTGAAACGTTGGTGGATTATGTATACATTACTGCTGCTGAGCTGCCGCATACGTTGCGACAATGTCGCAGCAGTTGCATGCAGGAGAGCCGGCGCTCCGTGCTCACATGCCAGGTCCAGGGACTTAATTTTTTTTTACCCTTGTAAACTGCAACTGTATTACTACCTTCGACGCACGATGAGATGGTGACTGAAGACTATTCGTTGCATTCCCTGACTGGTGTTCCGCAGAGGTTTACGAGGTTCTGCAAGCACTTCCCAGTTATGTCCGAGCGGGGTAGCACTCTGTGTATGTTGGTGTCACTGTAGCCTCTCTACGGACTATCGCAGGTCGAGTAATGCCCAAACGGAAAATTGCTCGCAACGCAACACTTAGACTGGATCTGACGCATTTGTCGCTCTACGAATGCATTTAAATACGTCTGAATACCGGCTTCATGCTATCTCATATCACAGAGAAACTTTTGCGGTATTGTTACCCCTGTGTGGTGGAAAGCATGTCCGGTGCAGCGCGTACTGCTGTTACTCTGACGGTTCGCTATTAAAGCTCCAGAACCACGACGTTATATGTGTGACAACCACGAAGACCATCTTTGGAGCAATGGCAAGATACGCGCTGCGGACAAAAAAATCTTTCAAACCTTCCTCCATACTAGCCTGCCGGTGTCCCACTCCTTGGCTTCCTATCCCTCTGCAAGTTTATATACTTGCCAATCTGCACTGTTCTTCTTCTCCTTAACAGAACCTGTTGCACTGTCCGGCGACTCTGAACAAGCTGCCACCCACGTCGGAGCTTCTGCAGCATAATTAGCTCCCTTAACAACATCGCATGCATCCCACTCGTCATCAGCGATGTCATCACCGAAAGTCGTGGGGCATTCGCCATCTAAGCTAACCTTACTGCCTGGCTCCTGATGTCTATCACGGGTCTCCAATGATGACTCAGCAAAGCGCAGCAAGTCCCTTGCTCCTCGGGAACCAATAGTTTGCACCTTAAGAGCACTCTGGAGTTGTGAAATGACGGAATTAGCTGCCGCAGCTTCTGGAGTAAGTGGTACGCTTTCACGTTTTTTCCCGCGGCATCTATGCATTAGGTGTTCATCATCCAACCAGCTCACGTTCCGAAAAAAGCCATGCTCCTCTGACTGGCTTAAAGTCTTCGGAACGGCGCTGTTTGCACGCATTAATATGCTCCCTGCTTCCTGTTTGACCACACTCAGCCTCGTATCGTCCTCAGCACTTGATACCTTTTTCTCCTTGTCACGCGCATCATCTCCTTGTGAAATGCACTTTGGGAATTCGCAGACGGACTGTTCAATAGATGTGTCGGCTGCTTCCGTGCTGTATTGTTTCACAATGCGCTTGATTTCCCTCTCCTCGTTATTTTCGCAGTTGTGGTCGCCTGCGTTATCAACATCAATAATTGAAAGTTCCTTCAACACTCGTGGTGCGACTCCGCGCTCCTTTTTGTTTTTTAGCTTTATCTCGAGCTCCTCCAAAGTTATTCGACTGCGCTCACGCACGGCGGGATCGTCTTCTGCAAAAGCTGCCAGTAGCACATCTTCCTCTTCAAACTTGCGCTGATTGTTCGTAGAATCCTGTCCCACAGCTGTGAACACTTCAAGGCACTGCGCAGGCTCAGGATCTTTTGGCTTGGGCACTGTACTTATCTCCTCATGTGTCTTGTCAGCTACTGGTGATGTGATACTAGCATTACTTGGGATGAATGCGGGGCCGCCGGTTTTCAATACCTCAGCGTTTCCTCTTGTTGGCCGCATCGATTGCTCCAGCTTCTTCCCCTCCTCAAATGCGACGCGGAGGTGCCGAAGAGTTAGGTGCACAACTGCAGACAAGTTGGCGCTTACTTCCTCCCTTCCCTCTTCAGTCATTGTCGATGTGCATTTCTCGTCTTCGCTCTTATGCTCTTTTTGATGCGACCTGGAGCCCAAGTGGTTGCAGCGAACGTAGCATGCAGCTGCAGAAAGGCGAAGAATAGCGAGGCATGCGGCAATGTTACGGCTCATCGAGGCGAGTGCAGATCGATGCTCGTATGACGCAGCTATGCACAGAAAGTTCATTGGCTGGTACGCGACACCTGGAGGGGAAACCGACATGTGCATCAGTTTAGGAATGCTTGCGTCGGCACCAGCGCTCCTGCTGTTGTCTTCCCCAGGCATGTGCATTGCCGTGTCCCAACGGGGATGCGGCAGTAGAATTGGACAACATGCCCAGTCTTCTTCCAAACTTGTCCTCAGCGCGTTGGCTGCCACTGAACAGACCCGTTCAGCAGCAGATAGAGCACTTCCAAGCCGATCGAGGCGTTGCAAAAGCCACCAGGACGTTCGTATTCCATTCGCCGCCGTCATCACCAGGTCGCATCCACCGGCGACCCGCAGTGCTGCAACTCTGAAGAGTTTCCAACTCCAGGCTCCTTCTGAGAACAGGAGTTCGTCCGTTTTCGTATCCGCAGCTGTGCATACAGGAACTCTCTGCTCATTTATCTGCCTTTTCTCGTGAACAGCAGCAATCAGTGAAGCCTGGCGGTTTTCGCGAAGCCCAACGCTGGTGCTCCCACATGGCTGCTCCTCGGTGTCCCCATCTCTCCCTAGTTTCGCATTTTCTATCTCATCAGCAAGCGATAGCGTGCAACTTCCAGCATTACTGTGATGCTGTTGTCCCAATAATGCCTGCCGAAGGGCGCGGCTTGCATGTCGCGTTGGCTTCCCACTTGATACGGCAGCAATAATGGGGTTATCAGTGCTTCGGGCTCTGCACAAGTCAGTCCGACATAGTCGAAGTTTCAGAGAGAAAAGCAAGTGCCTCAATGCAACTTGGAGTCCAACGCACAGTCTCGAATGTGAGTGCCAGCTTTTGGCTGTCATTTCTTTCAAAGCCCTGAGGCTTCCATCAAAGCTGTGAGCATAAAAATTCGTTTCCTTCGCACATCCCCAAGGCCCCCGAGAAATGTGGTCTTGCCAAGAAGCCTGACAGCCCTGACTTGGCCTGATGATATCTTCGTACAAGTAGCAGAAAGCACGCTGCTGCCAATCGAGCACCTGGTGAAGGCGCATCCTCAGCTGCCCAGCAGGTGCTTCTCCAAAGCTCGTAGGCGCTCGTTTGCACTGCAACTGCGTGCCACCATCGTGTGGAGGAGCTTTACTTATGAAAGGTAAATCTCCTCTATTTGACGGGGTAGTCATCTTTTCAGGAGGCTCTTCTGCGGAGCCTTTCCCTGTTTGATCTTGGCCACTTGTAGTCGGCGACATAGACACGGAGACACTTGCGGCTGTCTGCTTTGGCATGGTGAGAGAACCCCTAAAAACGCTGAAGGTAACTTCAAGTTCCCGAACCCATCTGAACAGAACAATTGCAGGCATTCTGGCACTCCCTATGAAGAATGCTAATGCGTCGAGCCACATGCGCTATTACAGCTGGCAGATCAGTACTATAAAGCGACAAGCTGCTATGTGCCCACCAAAACATGTAAATCCGCCAAACAGCAAGATGAGCAAAATTCATACCTCGCTGTTTCTCCCGCAAATCTGTGTTGAAGATGCATGTCATCAAGCAGCCGGTGGATTGTCTTCGAAGAGCGATGCACCAAGAGATTGAGCTTCACCCAAGCAATGAAGCAACTCGTTGTTACGCAAAACGCCAGAATCGCTAACGCAGCAAGAAGTAGAAGCGCATTTCGGCCCCAAGAAAACACAATAGTTACCCCAACAGCGGACACTGATGCAATAGTCGTGTAGGAAGCCCCCACTACAAAGGAGGACCTACACAGCCGCAGTCCTGTCGCAAGTAAATGCTTCGTGGAGTTCAGTGTTCTGCTTGGTGGTGTTTCACCAATGATCCGAATAGGTTCTGACGCTTCATTTGACCGCTCACTACTCCGAAGAATATTTCCCCCCTTGTTTTTCCCATCTGGAGCAGCTGCGGAATCTGGATCGATGTATCCGTACATGCACGCCGCTCCCTGCACGTCTTCACACAGCCGCCGTACGGAGTATGCAAGGGCGCTGTAGAAAACGCCCGATACAGCGTCGCATATTCTAAGACATCTTGCTTCTAAACTTGCGGTACACATGGTACAAGTGTACGGTGCCACAACAGCTCGACTTCAGCTGAAAAGCCCCTCCGTGGAGATTCCGCAGGTCGACTATGTGGCAAACGGCAGTGTCTCCTTGCTTTGCACGCTATATCGACTCCCCTCAATGCATTGGAGATAACAAAAAGTCCAGTTTCTGCCCAAGCTAATTGTTTCATGTCCGACGAACCAGATTTGACTGCTCATATGTCACAATGAGACAACGCCCCTGCCAGCACATAGAACGTGTTGCAACAATAGCGCAAAAACCGTCAAGAGGTAAACGCGAAGGGGAATTCGCCGGAGTTTCGAAGAGCGAAGGCGGAAACGTGCGCGGACTAACCATGCGAATACGGGGAAAAATTCCTTCCGCGGTTTCAAGTGGACCACTGTCCGTAAAAATTTCACATCCGCGGAGACCAACGTGTGCGTGCCTTATGTAAAGTCTGCTTTTCAACTCATTCCCTCTGCTTATCTTCGTCAAGAAACTTGTTCAGCCTTTAAGCCATTTCCAGTCAGCAACGCCTGCATGCACCAGGCTCTCTTACATGCCGCCGCACTGCAGTAAGAGGTGTCTTAATGGGATCAACATGGGTGTTGTTTATTTTTTGTTAAAGTACTCTCAATAATTTAAAATTTTCAATGTTGGCGAGGCCATTTTTTGTCCAGGGCGTTGTGCGAGACTGCTCGTTGCCACCCGGTTCAGAGGCGCACGAAGATTCATATCCCCTGCGGCATGGTAAGAAAAGCTGTGGCAAAATGCTAGCTTGTCTTAAGGACTTTCATAGCTTTCAACACTCCAGATGCGTTAGCAGGATTTGTTAACTAGCAGGACATAGCAAGTTATTGATGGCCTGGAGCTCAGTCTCACATGACTAATGCTCAGAGACCAGTGCGCCGGGTCATCACGAGAGATTTAAAATTGTAGCGAATATTGGTAGAACGTGGAAATGGTAGTGTGGGAACAGAAATGAAATAGATATTTTCGAAGGAGATAACTCGACATGATGGAAAATCTAGGGTAAGCAGCGGCTGTCATGTGACGGTCCAAAGGTAACAAAATCTTTTGTCTGGTAAAGCCCGTCCTGCATGGGTGTTATAGCGACTTCCCTAACGTCTCTAAAGTAGGACATTTTTAAATAGAAAAATCCTTGAATATGAGGAACCCTATGGCCCGACGGTATCACCCTGAGCAGCAGTACTTCCCTTATACATAATAAGTAAGAGTGGAGAGAATCATCTTTGTAATTCGTCATTTGTAAATCAAGAGAAAATCCACTAGTTGTTTATACTAATCGTCGACAATTCCTTGCCTGGAGACTCTGATGGTCCGTAAGGTGTTATGTAGGGGGAATGTTGGAGGTGAGGGGCAAACAAAGCTTCACTAAAGAGCAAACGCTAAACCTTACCCAAAAAATTGAATTTTGACAAAAGCTTCTTGGCACTGCATGCCTGATGTCATAAAATCCATGCATGAGATCGCTCTTATGAACAGAGAGAAGCTATGAGATAACTACAGTAAGGGGAACTTGACGGTAGTAGCAAATGAAGTCTACTACTAAATCAACATATGCATGCTTGGAATCTACCTTTTGAAAGTTACGTTTTTCCTAATCTAATCAGGGATACTTTGCAGTACCATGCTGTCAATTACATGGGTGTTTGTGCGTTGCCAGAACTTACGCCTTTTATCGATCATCTTCCGTTACTCAAGTAAGCATAATCAATTTGAATGGCTTTCATGGAAAAAGAAAGCTACATTTTGTTTTCATATAGTTTAAGTGGGTTCGCAAGTTTACGAGATCCCAGACTTATAAAGAAAAGTGAATTACTAACCAAAGAGCTTCTACAAAATGCCAGTATGCACTGGATCGGATATCCATGAACCAGCACCCCCACTAATAAAAAAATAAAATTGTTCGAATAGTTTGCATCGCGCAGTGTAGCTAAGAAACGGAAAACGTCTGGTGGATTCAAACGTCAGACACTGCCAAGTCTAAGGAGCAGATATAGTTTATGACTACTGTCCAGTAACCAAAACAAGAATCTTTTCAGTAACTCTATCTGAGACGAGACGTAGCTACCTCAGAAGCTCTTAGATAAATTGGTAAGAAATATATACCATATCCAAACACCTGGCATCCAGGGATAACTGCAAACGAAATTGTAATAATATGTAGTGGAAGGTTCTAGAAATTCTGATTCTCATATGGAGCAAACATGTGAACAATAAAAGCCTAGCTAGAGTTTAATTAAGACTGATGGTAGTGTATATACATTTGAGAAAAGCAAGCCATGCGTAGAAAATACCTGTTTCATTAGTTTCATGGACCAAGAGAACCACCAACCGCATAATGTCTGCCGTTGTCGCTAGCCCTGCTTTTTACTATCTTGGATAGCGTGGACCGAAGAATATGTGGGCAGCCATCTACTCAGCTTCGCCCTATGTTTTGCCAATATACAACAATGGCAAAATCCCGTTAAAATCTGCACCAAATACCTTGGCTAGGAAGTTGTCACCTTTAATGGTCAATCATATGGATCTTAGAAGTGCCTAACTGATGCTCCAAACTATTAGTGAGAAAGAGGCTATATAGGTTAGCGATGCTACCAGGCACGCCTCACTGAGGAACGTCTATTACATGATTGTCTAACAAGGTAGAAGTTCATACAAGGAGAGCACTGAAAGGAGCACCAGCAGTTTAGTCATATGGGAAGTTCTGCCCGCCAGCGCTGTCAGCTGTGGCCCCGGCCACTTTTCTCAACTTGTTCGCGCTGCACAAGGCCGCTTTTAACTATGGAGACAAAAGTCGGGTTGAAAAGGATGCGCGTTTGAAGATGATGTACGCTTGTGGTAATGGCAGAAAGAACCAGCAAAGGTGCAAAAATGCAGAACCCCGCAAAGCGGTGGTACATTCTGAAGATAAAAGGACAGCACCCCCTTACACAGATATATGTACCCAGGAAACTCCACATGCACTCTGCTAGCTTCTGCCCTCTCAAAGCAAAATAGCACCTTTAGTTGTTGTTCTAGGACTACGCACCGAATTACGTCCGAGAGCATGTCGCTGCGGACTGCCCACCGGTCCAAAAGTGCAAAGGCCATTTCAAGAGCACCGTATACGAAGAGACCGAGAGCAAAGAATGAAATAACGAGAGACCCTAGCGAAACCTTGCCCGTTATGACAAGCCACAGCACCAAAATTGATGTTCCCGCTACAAGGAGGAGAGAGAGCCAGGCCTTTATAGAGGGGCTGACCGTCTGTAGCTCTCGTAGAAGTGCCTTTATGGAAGCGAATAGTCCAGACGCTGCCACCAGATAAACTGCACAGTCTACGTCAGCCGACTGTATGGAGCTGAAAGCAATGCAAATGTTGCACTGATTATCTACTTTTAGGCGCGTCGATTATGTGCCTAGGCTAATTAGTACTGTTGACAGTGTCACCAAACACAAAAGGGACCATTTTTACGAAAGGTGAAAGGGTTGGGTAATCCATACGTGGCGACGCAAGATATAATTCCTGCAGCAAGAAGTGGAAATCGTAGAAGGCGAAGGACAATGATGAGTTTATGATGCCATACGATGTTACATCTCTGCTCCATCTCCTCTCGCCACCATGATACCCATGATTCTTTTGGCATGCCCAGTTCCTGGAGCAAAAGATAACCACTTGACTGCCACTCCATGCTTTGAGAGACAAGAGGTATAATTTACTTCAGTGCATCGAATGGCACTGTAGGAACTGCCAAAATGTGACATTGAAAACTCTTACATGGGACGATAGCCATGCATTCCAGCTCGTGAAGTCTTGTCGCAGCCGAGGATAGTAGAATCCCAATGGGTTAAAGATGAACGGCACAGAATTTATCGAAGCTGCCATTAAGAAAATCGGCCACGTGTCCAGAAAGAAGACGCCTGCATCGAGGCCTGCGTACTGCAGAAGCGCGCCGCCATGAATCAAGGAAAAAGATAAGTAGTGCGTAATTGCCTATCTGACCAAGTTAGGAATACTTAGGAGGGCAACTGCCATGCAGCTAACGACCCGCAGTGTGGTGCTACTACGTTGAGAACCTGCAAAGATCGCTTGGCCTCTACGAAATATAGTGCTGTGCATGCATATATGTCGAGCAAGCTTTTCAATCAAAACCCCATTTGTTTGTCTAAACATTAGCTACGCAGTTTGCCTACCGTAGCATATATGATGAGAAGAACGAACATTTCCAAGCCAACAGAAAAGTGTGTGAAGTAAAAAAACATCCAGATGTCTTTCAAAGTTGCGCGTTCTATGACGAATCCTCGGCCGGTTTCCTGGTACTTCGCTCCCCCGTAGATTAATACGTGATCTATGATGGAAGCTTTCGTGCAAGCTGAGAAAAAACGTAGCCTACAAAAGCCACCTACCACTTAGGTCCGCCCGCGCTTCTGCAAGGTTAGTTTGAGGGGGCAGATTTGAGGTAAGGCGAAATTTACGTAAGTGATGCTTCTGTCTCGTGTGTAGTCACTAATTAGCCAAAATTCTGAAGACGCACTCATGAAGTTGTAGTACGTAACGGAAAACTTGCTCATAAGATCTAGTAACTTCCGCAATGCTGAGCCAAAACCCTTCTCAAGGAAAAGCCATGGGACAAGAGGTAGTACAAGAAGCATCCCAAGCTGGAACTGGATGTATGTGGAAGGTGTCAATACGTATTCTAGGGCACTTTCGACGGGCCCGCTGTAGTTGTATTCTGCATTACAGCACATACAGCGGGCAGCCAGGCAAGTAGCATTGCTGCAGTAACACTCTCTTGAGTGGAATGTCTATCAAGCAATGAGCCGTTGAAACCCTTCAGCACGTTTGTTCTTTTTCGTAGTAGCTGCCAAGCGCTTACTTGCAAAAGCTAAGAAGCATTTCGTATACAGGCAGACGTACGCTGCCAGAACGAGGATGACAGAATTTAAGAAGAATCCAGGGCCAGTGAACCACAACGACAGCACTCGGAAGAAGTCCATGTTAGAA